AGGGTTCAGGGGATCTCGTAGTCGAGCAGTCTCGACTAGAGCTTTCTTTCTTGTTTATATTATTTTTTGCTTTAATTTTGTAGAAAAAGGGCATCACCGACTTCAAAGTACCTATTTGCGGCCTAAGAGCTGTCCATTTGCCGATTTGCCACGCCCCCAATATAATTTTTGAGCACGTTAATGGAGGGTGTCAACGGTAATTTAGTCGTTAAATTTTGAAGTTTAAGCTCCAACACTGCAGAAAATACAATTTTTACGGCTGCCACGCCCCTCATTAATTATAATTATATATGAGTTATGTATATATAATTGCTTTAGGGCTGTAAACCAAAATATATATACCAAATTATAATACTATATTGCCTACCTTAGTATTATTTAGAAAAGAAGTTCTTGGCAGAATTTTATATATAAATTTCAATTATTTATAATTTTGTAAAAGTCAATATTAAAACATCATCTAATATTAATATATACCATATTTTCTTTAAAACTTCAGCAACAAATAATTGCTCTTGCAATAATAGTACTATTTTTACCAGAAGTTTCCAAATACATTCACAGTGGAATTAAAAGATTTTATTTTCATTGCCAGAGTTATTACACTTATGAGGGCAGCCCTTGCTCGACTTTAACTAGCCATAACTCTGTTAAACCTTAACTGATTCAATGGCTTGATATGATTTTGATCATGCTTTGACCTCGTCCCATTTGGCATTTAAGAGGGGAAAAAAACTAAGGTACATTATTTTGTAACTGTTGCATTATTATGAATATGGCGCAGGAAAAACTTGAAATACTCTACAAAGAAAAGGCAATTTAAATAGCTACACATGAAATGTTGATTGACAACGAGCGGTGTTTGATATGCGTGCGACAACAGCAACAACAACAACAACAACAACGTGAAATCAGCATAAAGTGCAAGAAGTAAAACCAAAATATGCGAGCATTTGCCAATATCGAAATTCCTGAGACACACACACACACACATGCATAAAAGTTCTGTGACAAGCAATTGCGTCAAATATGTTGTTGCTGTTGCAGTCTTTGTTGTTGCTGTTGTTGTTGCTGTTGCTGTTGCTTTGGTAATTATAACGCCGCCACAGATATGGTAATACTATTTGGAGAGACCAGCGTCTATTGGAGCTATTAAAACAGCCTCCGACTGTGAGTCGTAATTACCGCAACCGATCAATAAATAAACAGCTTTGGCTTTAGCAGCAGCAGCAGCAACAGCAGCAACAACAACAACCAGAGTAGTAGCAGCTCTTAAGTGTCACTTTCAATTGCTGCATTATCTGTCCTTAACAGATACACATTCAACTGCCGAAAACCAAGTCACAAAAGCTAGCAACGCCTTCACGGCCCAAGCAATTGCCGCACCCAGCAGCAGCAGCAGCAGCAGCAGCAGCAACTGCAGCAGCAGCAACAACTGCAGCAGCAGCAGCGATCTCAGCCGGCACATGCGTGGTCTCTCTATGACTCTGTCTGTAGCTACGTTGCCCACCCGCTGCCCCCACCTCCTGCACCGCCTCGACTGCTCAAAGCAGCAGCTGCAACTCGTTGCTGGCGTCGTCGTCGTCGCCATCGTCGTCGTTGCTATTCGCTGGCATCGCCTGCGCGCGCGTATATAAATACTTTTGGTCATCGTTGCAGACATCAGTTCAGCTTACGATTTCGTGCTACAAACGGTCCTCCAAAGCGTCCAAAGCCGTGCTTTAAGCAAAAGTTGTGCCAGTTCAGTTTGATATTTTGTTACGAATCCTTCGTCCTTAATTGTTCGCGTCGTGTGTCGTTCTCTGTGCTCAATAGAAACAACATGAAGGTACGACAAGTAGCAAAAAAAAAAAAAAAAAACAAAAATAATATAAAATAAAATTTTAAAAAATTATGCCAAGTCGAATTGTGTGCAAGGATTCATTTCTCCTCTGCCTCTTCTACACACAGTACTTTGCTGCCATCGCTCTGCTGTTCGCCGCCGTCCAGGCTGTGCCCATTGAGCTGGGCCACTATGCCCCATCGCTGGTGCAGGTGCATCATGCGCCGGTGCTGGCCCATGCTGTGCATGCCGAGCCCGTGGCCTATCCCAAATACTCCTTCAACTATGGCATCAAGGATCCCCACACTGGCGACATCAAGTCTCAGGCTGAGGAGCGTGATGGTGATGTTGTGAAGGGTAAGCACGAGCAATAGACGCAAACAGAACACAATGACTTAGGACACAAACTCGATGGCAGACCAAAGACTTGAGCAACAAACTTGACATGGCCTAATCTATACTCTTTCGATTGCCAATAGGCCAATACTCGCTGGTCGAGCCCGATGGTTCTGTGCGCACCGTGGACTACACCGCCGATGACCACAACGGTTTCAATGCCGTCGTCCACAAGACCGCGCCCAAGATCATCGCACATGCGCCCATTGTGCACGCCCCCGTGCTGTCGCATGGCCCTCTGCTGCAGCATTACTAAATTCCGTGGAGTCGTCGAGTCATAAAGGTGCTCCCACACACACACACACACTCAACCACACAGCCACACTCAAGAATCAATATAGGAACAACAGGCAGATAAAACAGATCCATTGAAACAAGAATGAAAACAAAAGAAAAGAAAAGAAACAGCAAATATAAGCAAAAACCACGTTGTATGTAAGTAAAATGTAGCTAAGAAGTTTTTTAGTAGAAACGGGCGCCTTAGTGGGTGCCCGGCACCCGGCTGATCTGGCATGGCATGGACGAAGGAAATACGAACAAGAATAACAAAAATAAGGAAAACAAAAGCGAAAAATCGAAAAAACATAAACAAAAGCATAATGACTTGATCTTGCATGACAATGATGATGACGATGATGATGATAATGAGAATGATGTTGGCGAATGATAATGCTGATAATGTTTGATAGAAAGCGTTAACTGAAACAGCAACGGCAGCAGCAGAGATCACAGTACACAAAGTTTTTCCACATGGATATATATATATACATATATCAATATATATATATATGCTTGCATAATTTGTATATTTAATCAATGTTTCACATTAAACAGCGCACAGGCCAGCGAAGCTAACCGAACACAAGTGCAAAGCGAAAGCATCGTCCGATCAGAACTTTTAGAACTCCCCAATTAGTTTCCTCAATTTTCATTTTCAATGCTCTACACTTTTGTAATATATTTATGCAACTCTCACTTTCTCTCTCTATAACTTTCTCTCTCTCTCTCACTCTCTCTCGCTACCTCCTTTCGATGCCTGATCCTGTGCCCAAGCGAAGAACTGTTATGCCCAACACCCAGCTTCGCATTGTTTGCTTAATATTTAAGCAAATGGAAGCATCTTGTGCCATTTCAATTGGCGCACAGTTTGGCAAGCACTGTGTAGTTGGCCCTCGTGCATATTTTTGTTTCATTCCATTCAGTTATTATCAAAATCTCTGAGCCACATTCACTCACTGTCTCAACTGTCTCATAATCTCTTAGTCTATCTCGCTATCGCTCTCTCTCACTCACACTCTCTATCACTCACATTCTCTTTTGTTATTATTCAACGCTTTCAAAACTATCTCACTCACTCACTCCACTCAGTCTGACACTTTTGTATCTAGTTTCATTTGTTTGCATTTAGTATTCTTCACAATTTGTGTGTATTGTATATTTATAAACAATTTATGCCGCTTAATTATAATACCAATCTATATGTATATAAATGTTAAATGAAAAATCACAAAAAAAAAAAATCATTAAGTGTTGTCTCTGTTGATCGAAGAGGAAGAAACAAACAAAACTCTCACATGTCTCTCACACTCAAAGTACATTGAGTAATTATTTTATACAACAACCGCAAATTTCTTGATAAACACGACAACAAAATGCAGAAAAAAAAAAAACAAAAAAAATAATTACACATTATTATCAAATTATAAAAAAAAAATGTATTAATAGAAAACCACAAAAAAATGAATAAAAATCGAATTGAAAAAAAATCATGAATTTTTATTTTAAAATCTTGGCATTGCAGCAGCTACAAGAAAAGTTCTAAATTATATTAAAATCCAAAAGGAATTTAATTGAACAACATTTTAGATACCTTTAAATATTTAATGCTTTTAGTTTATTAACAAAAATATATATATTTTTTTAAGAATTTCTACTACATAATCTATTCTGATTGGTGTAACATTTATATAAGTTAAGATTATTTTATATATTTAGAATAGTATTTTTATCAAGCTAGTTTTTTTAATCATAAAAATACATATAAAATTTACATTTATAATTTTTTTCCTTTTCATTTTAACCTCTACAGAGGTCAAGTTTTTTTTTTTAGCATATTAGAAACAATTATGATAGAATTTCTTTCTCTCTTTTAGCTTCTTTTTCAGCAAATTAATTTGAATGAGCCCGCTGAAATATATTTAGCATATTCACAAACTCTTTCTAATTGAGCTCTGGGCTGGCTCAATTATGTTTCGGCTGTTTGTCGATTCAGTTGTCGATTCAGTTGGATTTTGCCATCGAAAGTACGCGCAACGTCTATAGAGTAGAAGTATTTGCTGATTAACCGAAGCAAAGCGAGTGACGCGCTCAACAAATGGGGATTTGCAGCTCATTAGAATTCACAATGGCAATTCCATCAAATATTTATCGGTTTTGGTTGTTTGTAAGTGCGTGAATATTTTATGAGAAATTGATTTTATTTGCGATGATGACATGCGTGAAGACGGGGAAATATATGTATATGTGATACAGTATTCATAGTCAGGAAAATCTGTCTAGAGTTGGTTGAGTACGAGTGGGTGGGTAGGTGGAAAAACTGTTTTTGAGCTGTCTATTATTTTTTAGACGACTATTAAGTGGTATTTGGTATACCTAGATAGCAATGAACTTCTATTGAAAGTGGTCTATTCATTGATTTAAAATTAGAATAGCTTTTTTAGCCGTAATTCTATGATTTTAATTAGGCTTTGACTAGTTCAATTTGCTTAAGCAATGAGAGTTATTCAACAGAATGGTAAATCGGTTTAGAGTGGCATTCGTCATGCTCTATAACTAGAAAAATCAGCGGCTCAAAATGTGGTATTAGTAGTATTTTTTCTTCTAGTTTGTCAAGGAACTCGAATATACTCTATGAATGTTAAGAAATTCAAGTCAGATAAATGATATTCAGTATAAAAGAGAGAAAGAAAGAGAAAGGTTTAGTTTAGTTTAGATGTTATCATGAACCAATTTCCACTAAATTCAAAGATCTTCCCTGCCCAAAATTATGCTTTAATCAAGTCGTATAAGCCATCGACTCTAACAAATCCAAGACATTTCCCCAGCAGGAAAACCTATTCACTATCAAATCCACTCAAAGCTTTTCAGTTAGTTCAAGCTTACAGATCTCGCTTACTAGCCGAAAAGTATGCACTAAGCTCTACTCTCTTTAACAGTTACTGATCGCAAAAGTATACGCCGCGTTGGCCACGCCAGTGGCAAATGGAAATGCAGCATACGAGCAGACAGCAGCGGAAAATTCGAACGGGCAGAGCAAGCTAAGCAACTACTTCTTGCACGATCCATACGGTAGGCTATGCCTAGACTAAAGAGAATGGAGAATCTTTTATGGGGAATTCATTGTCCATGCAGGTCCCAATACCTATGCCTTTGGCTACGAGCTGGAGGACGCACCGTCTGGCAACATTCAGTTTCGGGATGAGCGACGCTACTTGAATGGCAGCATTGAGGGCAGCTATGGCTACGTGCGACCCGATGGCCTCATCCAGGTGACGCGCTACAGAGCAGACGGGGACAGCGGTTATTTGGCATACTCCCAGAGCTATGCACCGGGCGATGAGCCGATGGACGCCGTTTGGCCAACGAAACGTCCGGATATATTCAAGACACAGCACGCGATGCAGCCGGCTGCAAATGTGAGCTGGGATGCCAAGAGTCATTTGAATGTGAGCGTGGATCAAGTGCAGCACGAGGTGGCCAAGCAGCTAAAGGAGCAGCATGGCCTGGACTTGAATCACATCGATGTCGAGCAGGATGTGCTGCAGCCGGCTGTGCTCGACATCGTCAATGGCAAGGCACCCCTGGTAAGCCAGCCCAATGGCAGTTTGGCCTTCGAGACGTTGCACAATTTCATCGACGAGGATTTGCCCCTGGTGCCGTTCGAGCTGCCAGCCGAGCAGCTGCTGGACCAGAGCCAGAGCAAATACAACAAAGCCAAGACCAATAACGATGAGAAGGCGCCGCAGACGGCAGCAAGTACTGCTGCTGCTCCTGCTGACTCTAGCACCACATTGCCCACGCCCCAGCCACTGATAGTGAACGATGGGGCCAATGCAAGCAGCTGGTACCAGCGAATCATTCAGGCGAATCGTCGCGAGTTTCTTGAGCATTTACCAAATTTGAATCAAGCTGAAAATGTATCATAAATGCGGCTGCTCCACTGTAGCCAACAGCATTGCCGACACGCCCCTTTGCAGCGTCTAATAAGCATTAGGTAAGCGAGCCGGCACTAGATCTTTCACTTTTTCAAACGAAAAAAAACTGAAGCGAACCCGAAGCGAGTTTTACTTTGCATAAGTAGAGCGAGCATTCCACAAGAATGCGATTAAAGCAAACAATCGCAAAGGCTTCAATTTACACTCGACTACATAAGACAGACACACTGACATACATATACATGCATGCATGCATCTATCTCTCTCGCTCTCTCTCTGTGCATATAACTTCTTGCATTTATCTTCCGGGTTTTTGGCTGGCATCTGCGCCGCCTTTGAAGTGTGCCTCATGGCTGGCGCCTTTGCATCAGCTGATGCCTCAATTTGCATTAGCATCGTCGTTAGCACCAGGAAGACAAGTAATGCCAGTCAGTGCGTTCGAACGGAAGGAAATGGCCAATGCATTTTTAATTTTCTCACTTTTTCGCAGTTTCTCTCGCTTCGCCTCATGCATATTTAAGCTGATTTATTGTATTGTCTCTCTGCTGCTCTTTCGTCTTCTTTCTTTTCTGTTTTTTTTTGTTTATTGCATGTTGCAGCACGCACGACACGCCGCGCCCGCCTTGAGCGTTATCTCTGAATTGCTCTTCAGTTTATGCAATGCGGCCAACAACAAGTTTTACTCGATATTTATACATTTCACATTTTACATTTAACATTTTTATGATTGGGTTTCTGCTTTTCTTTTTCGCAGTGCACATTTATTGTTGTCCGTCGTGCATTCACTTTTATTGCGGAGAAATGATTTATAAATGCTTTGACTACACTCACAGCAAGCTAATGAATGATTGATGGCTGCCTAATTATGAAGAGCTAACCATATCCATGCTAATGCCTAGTTTTAATGCTTATTAGATAGATTTCGGATATATCCCATATATGTATAAATAAATATATGTAGTGAAATATTAAATTTTAGTTATTTGTAGAGAGTTGATAGAATAAAGATTTGAATTAGAAATTTATATACAAATTGTTTTAATTTTTAGCATACGAATTTTCATTGGAAAATTTTAATAATTATTAGCATTTTTTCATGCCCAAATACTAAATTTTATTTATATGTTATTGACTTCTAAAAAAGGTTGCCTATTTAAAAACATAAGTGTATTTATTTATTAATATTATGTATTTTTTTTTTTTAAATCTTTAAAAATCGAATATTAAAAAATTTGATTTGCACTTTTAGCATAAAAATATATATAAACTAAAAATGAAAAAAAATAAATTAAATAAATTAATAAATAAATAAAAATATGATTTAATTTTTAATAAAACAGTTTTGATGTTGCCTAAAATTCATAAATTATATTAAAATATTTATTAAAATGTATATAATTGTATTGTATGTATGTATGTATATAATTGATGTATATAATTGATCTATTGTATTTTAAAATGTTTTCCTTTTTTTTTTTATACCCTGAACCCATTGAAAATGGGAAATCAGGGTATAATGGT